TAGAGATTTAGTCCATGTCTATGTAATTATCCTTCCCAGCTCCACGATCATAATACCCTTTTTACTTCCATATTCTTTTTTATTATAGGGAAAATGACTTATAAGGGTAATCATCTTTGTCGCTTTGTTTACATTTAGACAACTTCTTTATTTTTATACACATTTGAGCATTTAACTTGTTATATGTGTTCACATATTGTCATTATCACCGGCTATAGCATGTGACAATGGTAATATGTGAACAAATTAACAAGTTAAATGGTTAAATTTGTAAAAAAAAGTTGTCTAAATGTGAAAAAACGAAAAATTAATTACTCTAATAAGTCATTTTTCCCACTTTTAATAGCGATTTTATTTTTCATATTTGTTTGTATTATTTTTTTGAAACGTTATTTTTAAAATATCCATAATTTCTTAAATATTAATTAAAATATTTATCAATTTTAAACTTTAGCTTTTTAATTAATAAATATGTTATTGTTTTGTGAATTGTTTTATATAGTCTCTTTTATATATATATATATATATATATATATATATATATATATATATATATATATATATATATATATATATATATATATATATATTGTTTTGAAGCATATACAATATTTTTTTAAAGTAAATAGCATCTAACAATAAAATTAAATAAATTAAATATGTAACAATAAGAAGAGAGGGTCTTTTAAAAAATTAAAAAGAAAATATTACTTACCAAATTAAAAAAAGTAAAAATAATCTATATAACATAAATGTTTTAAAACTATTCAAACATTTTAATGCTTTTACTTAGAATTTTATAAAATTTTAATTTTTTTAATACAATGTTTTAAACTAATATTTAACGAAAGTATTTTAAGATGTTATAAAAATATTAAATTATCATACAAAATCTATGAAACACTTTAAAAATATTGTAAAGAAAGTTTAGAAATAAATGTATGAAAGTTATAGAAAAATTGTATGAAAATGTAAAAAAACAAGTAAAATATTTTTGTAAGAGAACTTTAAAACATTTATAAAATATTTGGTTTAAAAACACTTATATTAAAACTATATGAAAGTATAAAAAAAAAAGTTGAAAAAAAGTTATATGCAAAGTTTTAAACATTGTATTAGAAAAATCTATAAGAAAAAAATATCATAAAAACGTTGTAAGAAATTATAGAAATTTTTAAGAAATTTGTAAAAAAAAAAAATGTAAAAAAAATATCATAAAAATGTTGTAAGAAATTAAAAATATGAAAAAAATATCATAAAAGTATTGTAAGAAATTATAAAAAAAAATTAAGAAATTTGTGGAAAAAAAAATGTTCACATTTAGATAAATTTTGTTTATCATATATATTTCACAATTTAACTTGTTAAATATGTTTACATGTTACCATTATCACCTGCTATAACCTATAGCAAGTGATAATAATAATATGTAACATATTTAACAAGATAAATGGTCATGTAAAAAAAAAAAAAAAAAATTACATATAAACATACATGTTATTTTCTGTTTATTATATTACATAATGCCTCATAATATTGTTTGATCACATATCTTAAAACAATCTCTCGTTAAATTCATGTAAATAATTACAATTTATTATTTAGTCTAATACATATCCTTGAAAGCGAATTTATGTATTATCATGTTTTATTTCTGATTACTTTTTGGAAAGCACCCGTATCTATCACATCACATCTTTACCGATTATGCTGGAATGCACCTGCATGCATGTACCAATTCTCCAACTTTGTCTATTTTTCGGTAAAACAATGCAAAAATGATCCTTTTTTGGTATCAGATAACTCTTTTTTCTTTTTCTATTTTAGATGTTTTTAAAGACGGAAACACCCCTCGACATCGACATGACAGAATATCATCAACACCAATATTTCACCTTTATTACCCGCTAAGCTTCAAGAGAAAAAAGAGTCATATTAAAACTGGATATGCAAAATAAAATAGCCTATTTATTATCTTTATTGACATTTTATAAAAGATAAGTTTAACGCATGTTGTAGTTATCATAAGCTTTTAATTATATCAAAAAGTGGTTTGCCGAAAAAACCTATATACTTTCACATCTTCTACAAATAAGTCCTTTTTTCTATGATTATGTTTGTTGAAATTATCAATAGCTTACTATTTATTCAAAATTTAAACCTTACTATTTATTCAAAATTATTAAAAATAGTTATTTTTTCAGCCAGTAATAATGACTTGGCATTTTAAGTGAATCAATATACAGTAATTAATCTCCATTTATATTGGTCAAAATTAGACATCCTCATCATCGTACCCTTCACACACACACACACAGAAAGAGATTTGTATGTTGTTTTGGGGGTTTGAACTGAATCAACAAAATACGAAGAATGCTTGAAAATTATAGCATGTGAAGAATACCAGTCTAAGTTTAGGTTAACAATGTTTCTAGTGGGGAAAACATGAAAAACTTAGATGGATTTTAAAAATAGATTAGCATTAAGAAGTATTTATTTTTGGGTTTTAGAACTATCTAGATATCAAACCAACTTAGACCATTGTTCTTCTACTACTATAATCTCCGTGCATCTTTCAACTAGATTTTGATATGTATTTTACCAATAAGAAAGAGATATGATGGCCTTTCTCTTTGTTTAGAACAATTCAAATGTTTCCTTCATATTTTAATGTTGGAAACTCTTAAGAACACTATAAACAATAAAGAATAACATGATAATTAATAGTTAAAACAAAAAGAAAATGGTACGGAAACAAAAATCGAGTCTCAAAGGAATATCATGACATTATGGACAGGGCGGACGCATGATTTCACAGTGTACGATAGTAGAAAAAATAAAAATTTTGAAATTTTTTCCACCGCGGCCGGAAAAGTTAGGGTTGCCGGTACCACCCCTAAATCCGCCCATGATTATGGATCAAATTACTTTTAAGATTGAAAAATAAAAATGTTTATAAGGTGGAAAACATGAAAGTTGAATTTAGATTAAAAAAATTGTCAAAATGTTAGGTAAACGTGCTAAAAGGGTTGGAAAATTTGAAAATAATGCAACGCCATTTTTACTAAATGATAATTTGAGCTCTACTACGAAAAAACGTCCGATATATATTCATCTGTTATGATATTAACTCTTCTGATTGAACCATATACTCCGTAGACATTCTTCCAAATCAACAAATTGCCTCTTTTTTTTATTATTATTTTTATTTTTATTATTATTATTATTTTTTGTATCACATTTCATTGGTAAATTTCCAAGTTAACCATTTGACATTTTATATCAATATCATGTCAAAATGTTTGACTTGAAATGAAAATAATAAATTAAAAGGTACTAAAATGCAAAAGTGTCAAAACTTTAATAGTTTTTATAATTTGTTATATTATAAAAATGTATTTTAATACAGTTTTACTTAATATTTTATAGGATTATAAAATTAGCCAATCGTGATATTTATTTAATTCATGAGAAGATATGGAAATTTATCAATGTTGATTTCCAAAATTTATCAGACTTCCAAATATATACTTGTACTATTAATAATTCAATATTTGAAGATATTTCGGGAAAAAAAAACTACTCGTTCCCCGATGGCACAAGATTATACAAAAAAGGTAGAGACAATTATTTATTTATTTATTTATTTTAGGTAGAGACAATTATTTATTTATTTATTTATTTTAAATGATCCGTCGTACGGTGGATGTGAATAAAAAGACAGGTCTCAAAAAGAAACCGAGACTGAACTGGTTTAGAATGAGCAGACCAAAGAAAAAACCAATAAAAAAGAAACAGGACGAAAAGTCTGGCTTCATAAAGACTAAACTGTTCCCGGAAAAGATCAAACCGGTCTGAAATCGACCCAACACCGGTCTAAGTAAATAAACCGGAAACAAAATTTTATATACATATTATTTTTGTGTTAATCACATATTAGTAGACTTTTTCATTTCTTTCTTTTATTAAATTTTAATGTATCATTTTTGTTAAATCTTAACGTGTCATTTGATGTTAATCACATAGTTGTTATCGGAAAAATCCAAAATCGAAACCATACAATCGAATCCGAATTGAGAAAACCCTGAAATTGAACGGCGGTAAGGCGCAAGCAAAGACCGTGAAAGCGGACCAAAAAAGACCGAGACCGGTCCCAAGAACAGACCGAAAAGTAACCTCTCAAGACCGGTCTTAAAACCAGACAGTTTTGAGACCAACCTGAGACCTGTTCGGTCCGCTAATCTAAAGTCCTAAGATATGGAGGGTATGCATGTCTTTTCACAAAGGAGAGAGATGAGAAACAAGTCCCTTGTCCAACCTTTTTAGGTGAAACAAACAATATCTCTTCAAGGATCAAGTTGGAACCACTTATGGTATATAATAATCATAGATATATACCCATCAAAGCGAAATATCAAGCTATAAACTGATTATATACAAGAACAATAACTTCAAGAATTTAGAACTTGTTAAACTAGAATAATATTTATTATCTCCTGAAAAGATCCACCAATATAACAAGTTTTGAAGTTTATGATAAACCCACAATTTACAACAAAGTAGAACTCATCTCTACAAAGCTAAAACTAGATTGATAACAAAAAAAAAAGTAGAAAGCTTACAGAATTGAAAAACATAATTTACCGAGCAATCCAGTATCAAATTTACCATTGCTGTCTGCAAATACAAGCTCGCAGTGATCCTCTTTGTTGTTAGTTCTCATGTTCGAGCTCAATATATCAAGCATTTTGCCTTTGACTTTGACTTCATCATCACCCCTATCATCAAAGAAATATACCCGACTCAATTCAACAAGGGCCGATTAAACTCGATTTAAAAGTGATTATAATCATAACTAAAAGGTTGCAATTATGAACAATAGCAATTACTAAAAGTACCCTAAAAGAAACTTTCTGAATCAAAATCTTGAAAGTTAAATCCAATTTCAGAAATGGAGAAAGAAAAGGTGATGATCAGAAAAGGGAATTACCAAAAGTCAATCAATCATCTCCGGTTGGAAATAAAGTCAGAATTTTTCTACCATTTGCTGATTCAAGATCATCAACATAAGATGATGGAACAGAATTATGAATTGGAGTCCCTACCCTATGAATCGGTTGCTGCGAATGCGAATGCGAATGTGAATGAGATTGTCTATTAAGAAATGGATGCTCAAATTGCCCATTTCGCGGCGACCCAAAATGCCCAATTTGCCCATACCGAGGCTGCAATTGAGGATGATGATGTCCGGCGACGACTGCCGCAGCAGCCATCTGCTGGTGGTGGTGTTGCTGTTGTAGAGCGGCGACAGGGACGTAGGGTAAGTAGTGGTCGGAATTCGGACGACCCTGATGCAGAAAATGAGCTGGCACCGGAGAACTAGCAAATAAATGATCGGTGGCAGGATCTCCACCGGAGCCGTTTCCACTACCGGAAGAAAGACCCTGCATACGTTTGAGGTAAAGTCTGTATTTTTGGAGATGACTAGCGACGTTTTCGCGAGTCAACCCGTCAACACTCATGAGCTGCATTATGGTTTTGGGTACGGCGTTTTTGATCCCTAAGTGAGCTACAGCATCAACAAATCTCTTGTGAAGCTGCGGAGTCCAGACGAGACGTGGGCGTTTGAGGGTGCGAGCTGGTTCATCGCCGGCTCCACCTCCGCCGAGTTCAGGGGAATCAAATTCCCCGGAATTGGGTTGAGAAGAAGGGGTTGAAATCGGTGGTGGTTGTTGGTGGTGTTGAAGTGAAGGTGAGTGGAGGTTATGTGGGCTTCGGATATCAAAGGCGATTGCTAGATCAGGAGTGATTAGGGTTTGAGTCAAGGGCATAAGGTCTTCCGGCGACGGCAGTTGTTCTTCCCACTTTGAAAACCAATTGGACTCATCTTCCCTCATTTCTACTAGGGTATACTTGGCAAATTCTGTCTCAAATCAAAAACCCAATTCAGGGAATTTACATGGAAATCAGTAGTTGTCGCTGATGTTGGATCAGACCCTCTCAATCTAGAAAGATTCGAGTTTTGGAGAGAGAGAAGAAAGGGGATGGGTGTTCGAGGTGGATCTTGTTTTAATTTTCTATATTTCAGCTTTTATTACGGTGGTTACTGTTTCGGATGCGGCTCTGCTGTTTCCTTTCCATCGTCTTTCTTCAGTAATTTCACTTTTAATCTAATCTAAAAAGATAATATAAAACATGTTTTATTTTCAATAAATAATTAGGGGTGCTCGATTTGACTCAGTGAAATTAATTATTTGTGATTTGTAATTATAGCATTTTTTTTTATGCTTAAAATCTTTTGACAAAAAAAAGTTCTGAAATTCGAGAGAATTCTTGGTTTTTACCATAACAAATAAAAGTAAATATGATATATACAAAAACTTAAGATAAAATATTTGATTGAAAACAGTGATTTGACATTCCGAAAAATTTAGCCAGAGATATTTTTGGAAAAAAATTGTGCAAAACAGAATAAACACATTATATTTTTTTTATCAGCATGGAATGACTAATTCTAGAAAAATGATTATTTTCCCAAAACACAAAAAATTCAATTTATTAATTTTTTTAATATAATGGTCAACATTTTTAAGATCTATAATCTTAACTATATGATTTAGGATTTGATAATTTTAGATGACTGTTGACCATCGGGAGTTCGGGACGAATAAATAATAGCATTATCAAGCCTATATGTTCTACAAAATAAATTGTGATAAGGAAAAATAAAGATGAAAGTAAAACCATGCAAAACTTTGTGAAGGGAATGGCAAAAAAGACAATGGAGGGTTTTGTTTTGTAAATTACAACTAAAAACATTAAAAAAATAAATTAAACTTCTTAATTTGAGTTAAGTTTGACACATCAATTAACTTATAAATTAGTTTATTTTTTCAATTTTTTATAATAATATTTATATTTAAAAAAAATAGCTTAAAAGTTAGTATTTTTAGAAACTATTTACAATAGTTTTTTCAACAATTATTTGAAATCTTTTAAAAATTCATCCAAATATACTATGTATTTATAATAAAAAGTCATTCTTTAAGTTTTTTACATGGATATCTATATTAAATTATAAGAGTTATGAAATTAATGACCACTTATAGTCTCTTTTTCTATTAAATCTTATAAAGGGTTTTTTTAATTATCATAGAAAAACTTATTATATATTAAAATCATTATACAAAATTATAATTACGATCCATAGGTTCTTTTCCTAATTTTGATGCATAGAAAATATTTTCCAAATATTCATTGAAGATCGGGTAATCGATTTACCAAACAAATCATTATGTTTAAAATAAAGGAATAATACATATTTTTGGATTTTTGCTTAGTTTTTAAACATTAGTTTATGTAAATTATGTCTTAAGTATAATTTTTAACATTGCTCAATAGCAAAGTGATTAATATCACAAGATGAATTAGGGTGTGTTTGGCGAAACTGGCAGATAACATTTTGTTAAATGCTACGTGATATATTTTTTAGATTTAAAGCGTTTTGTTTTAAACTAAACACTAAATATTTGTAGTGTCAAATCATAATGTTTGTTCAAAACGGAGCGTTTTGTCGAATGCTAGAAACTAGAAGCTTCCAAGGTGATTGTATATAATTCTCATGCATACTTTCATTAAACGGAAAGAATATATACAAAATAAATAAGTATTAGGATCGAATATAAGAGGCAACATACAAACAATTATTGGGCTATACAAATACAAATGAATACAATAATAAATAACCAGTTAACAGTTGCAATTTTTTTTCTCATCAAAAGTCACTTCAATTTCACGAAACTGTGTTCATTTCTATCTACATTAGAAGGACTTACATTGTTGTTGAACATTTTCCTAACGCATAGAATGCTCACCTCGTTCATTTAACAATCTTCATTTCTAATCTTCGTTTCTACATCGTTGGTTATAAGACAGGTTGACTGTAATGTTGTTGGGAAATTTTCCTTGTTCCCAACTGTTATGTGAGTTAAGCAATTTTTTCTATGAAAATTGTGTTTGAGTTGGTGTTGGCTTTCTAGTAAGTTTGCATTATGAAATCCATGATTTTATCAAGGTTGTTGTAGTTTTAATCATCTGTTTTCTTTGACGAATTTCCTTCCTTATTGTAACTACCTTGGGAACGATCTTTGTTGACCTTGACAATGTCCTGTTTAGTTGATATGATGTTGAAAGTGTTGGATTAGTGTCTAAGCTCGTAACCATATTTGGAAAATACTTGACCCGGTTGTGCATGGTCCTTTTGGGTTGCCTTCACCAAAGCAACTTGACTGGAGAAATAATAGAGAAAGAGGTTATTATCATTTATTAATATATTATAAGAATAATATATTAAAGGGAAAAATCATATTTGTTTAATTAATATTGGTCAATAATTAATTAAGAATTAATTATGTGATCAAATGTAACTAATTAAACTAGAGGGGCTGAATTGTACTTATGTGATAGTTGCAAATTAGGGCATTGGATGCCCCATGGACGGGGTGGACGAATTCAAGGTGATAAGGCCTTACAGTTCGTCCAAGATAAGGATTCTAGGCTTATCTTATGGGTTGCTTGGTGGGCAAGTAACCATATAAGGATAAGGATTGAAACCTTAATCTATACCCTATATAAAGACCCCTTAGGCCTTAGAAAATCGGCCACTTGATCCCTAGAAGACCTAGAGCCGATTTTTTTGCCTCTCCCCCCCCCCCTCTCTCTCTCTTGCCTCTCCAATTGCTTGTGGTGTTTGTAAGCCATTAGAGGTACTACACTTGTGGTACTTGCTTTCCAAGATAAGGAGATTGAAGATTTGTGTTGTTATTACAATATAACAACAAGAGGTATGTAATTCCTTCTAATATACAGATTTCGAAATACCTAGGTGCATGCTAGGGTTCTTCTTGTGTTCATAAAGTTGTGTATCTAATAGTGAAAACATAGATCCAAATCTAGGGTTGCATGCACACATAGGATTGTTTGTATAAAACCCATCAGAAAGTTCCCTTGATCAATGTTGTTAGGCTGGAAATTTCCTTTATATTTTGGCTTATTGAACAGTCTCGGTGTATTGTGGAATTAACCGTATCCATGAACTTAATTTATCTCTTCTTAACTCTTAAAGTATCATTGAGGATGTGTACAATGTCTTTGCAACAAATGAAAAATCCTTGACCTCGGAAATAATTAACACATTAATTTCTATTTGCCAATACTATAGAGTGGTAAGTAAGTAAGTAAGTAAGTATATATATATATATATATATATATATATATATATATATATATATATATATATATATATATATTAACAATTAGGGAGAATTTCATATATGCCCCTCTTAAACTTCAAAATATCATATTTGCCTAGCTTAATTACTCAATATCATATTTACCCTTTATAAATCTTCAAAATATCATATTTTCCCAAATTCATTTTTATAATATTTTAAATATTTTATAATCATCTTTTATACCTTAGAATTATTATAATAATTAAAAATTTAACCATATTATCTTTACCTCTATGATAAAGGAATGTAAACTTCTAAATTGTTGGAATGTCGGCCTCTTGATAGACAAAAAGATTCATCTTCAACCCTTTCTATGGAATGTATATTTTGATTGTTTAGTTTTTGTTGTTGTTGGTTATTATTATGTTGTAGATGGAGGATATTTTAGATATTACCATTGATATTTTGATGTTTAAAAATGGTATATATGATATTTTAATATTTAAGAAGGGCATATATGATATTTTGATGTTTAAAATGGACATATATGATATTTTGAAATTTTATGAAGGGTAAATATAATATTTAGAAATTTTATGAAAGGTAAATATGATATTTAGAAAGTAATTTGGGTAAATATGATATTTTGATGTTTAAGAAGGGCATATATGAAATTCTCCCCTAACAATTAATATCATATTTTACTTTATTTTCCATGCTCTGTCTAATCTTATAGAGGCGGATTTTGAAATCAGGGTATCCTGTTTCTTAGTTGAGTATTTTGCATCCAACTTATTACTCAACTGCTCTAAGAATCACCATACATTTTCACTGTCTTGCATCATAATTATTCAGTAAGATGTAACATTTATCATGGTTTAGTTTGTGCTATCGATTCTATCATAAAAACATCTCACAAGTTTCCAACGAAGGAACTCATGATGTGGGAAAGGCCATAACTATTCATTGAGGTTATCAAAACATTATGAAACCCCACATTAGGTTTATGTGTAAAATTTTGATTTACTTTTCTTATTTTCATGGTTTTACTCGCAGGGTGAAACTATGTAAAAAATTAGTTTTCAATTATTCAGGGGTAGTAATACTACCAGGGGGTAAGTGAAGTGAACAAATATTAGCCTTTTCATTTAACATGAATAGAAATAAATGAATTCTAAATGAGTATCTATTAGTTTTTTGCAATTTATTCACGTTAGATATCACAAGGAACTTATATAGATGACTGTACATATCTTCGTTTTTATATCCTATTCGATAAACACTATTCCTATTAGTTGTAGTCTAATTTCGAAATTATTCTTATTTCCATCTAGTAAAACAATCAATGACGTGTCATCGTAATCTCCCTTGTAAAATGCGATGCAATTTACTGCATATTAGGTTGATCAAAATAAAGAGTTGTTATTACTTTCAGTGTAGTGACCACCATTGTAGCCACCATTTTTCCCATACATTAAACCACTATTGTGATACATTTCTTGCATGTTGACATGATTTCTATTATCTTTTTTGTAGACTCTGTTTCCACCATTATTTCCAAGCACATCATTATAGTTGTGGATATTGTTACATTAGCACTGTTTCCTCCTCCACAACCACCATTAATGTCATTTGCATTGTTGTACCCAAGGTTGTTCCCATAG